TAGTTTGAGATTAAGAAATGAAATTTGTTCACTTGCAACAAAGAGAATAGAATGTGTATGATGATTGTAAGAGACAGCTTGTAGATCTCCACGTATTTTGTGAACTTTTGGTCGAATACAAGCAAGAAGTGTGTGTTCAATTAGATCCCATACCTAAATAAACCGAAACAGATCGATTTTGATCGATTTTTCTTTTTTTCTTTTGATAAAGTTCACAATAGATCTGTTGTGTATACACTGTCTCATCCTCTTTTCTGCTCTTGTCCTTATATGCGTAAGTGTTCTAATCAAATTGAGTTATAAGCAAATGAAATTCGGTTCAGACTCGATTTGATTTCATTTGAACATAAGAACAACGGCACCAGCCCACCTTCATTCATGTAATTAACTACACGTTCTGGTCAAAATAAGTCGCATGAAATTTCTATGCGAATATGACATTTGTTTAATTAGCGGCAGATGCACGAACAGTCAGCAGCTGAATACGCACTTAGCGTACGAAAAAATATGCTTTTATACAAAAAAGGTTAATAGACCGAATCAGTTAATAGTACTTTCTCGTGCAGTGCATCGGTGACGTTATTTTCTATAATGAGAGTATATAAATTTTACGATCGATATGTCTTGCAAAAAAGTGCATTAACGGGACCTTTTCATGGATGATTCACTAACTTCTATTGTCTTCTTTACAGCCCAATTCATTTGAAGAAAGGATCATTTCTTTGCTTTTTATACTTGCCTCGTAGAACAGCTTTTATCACAAACTTTTCTTTTTGTTTTTCTTTTTCTTCCTTAGGGTATGTTTATTGATACAGGTAAATTAAATACACGAAGGATAAAAAAAGAAACGTGATAGAAAGTGTTGGTTCATATACATGAGACATAGACTCTGTTTAACCAAACTTGTTCGCCGAAAGTTGATCCAATTAACCAGAAATACGTTTGTTTGTTTTGTCTATTGACGAAATCACAAGACAGAGACTTAACTACTCTTTCTGCTTTAACATTTCATAAATCAAGTAACAAGTTACGTTTTTCTGCATCCCCAGTCGCCCAAAAGCATCAAATACTACAAGGTAAATATTCTTTCGTTTGACTCAGCAGCGAGACACATTTTTTCGTTTCTCTCTAGTGCTCGTATTTGATTTATAGCACAGTTATCGTATATTACTAAGTACATATTTTATACTCTTTCTCATAAAGATTAGTCTTTTTGACAAGTTCAAATTCGATACTAGACGATGAATGTCGACGAATTCTTCGTACGTGTTTCATCATCGTTTCATCTGTTCGATGTAAATCTATGTCATCAAGTACGTCGAAAATGCAGAAAGCAAGAATTAAACATAAATGAGCAACGTTCATGATAATCTCTCGAGGATTGATGACAAGACGCATTTTTTCAGATTATTGTTCTTGACTTCCGTTCACTCTATTCTCTCATGTTTCCTTCATTTTCTTTCTCAAATCTACAACACGCTGATTCAATTCTCTCCCTAATAGAGACAGAGAGCAAATCTATTAAATGATTAGTTTGAAGATTGAAATAGATATCAAACTCAGGTACGAGTTCGATGTAGCTGACTCAGTTTTTCGTCTTACGATTAGACATTCATATGTGTATATACGCAGATGGTTGCTTTGTTGAGATTGATAAGACAATGAAAGATAAGATTCAACAAAGCATGTAAATGATATGTTAGTCGTTGTCTCTATTTTAGTTAAAATTTCATCGGAGAGAGAAAGTTTTTACTTATGCGTCATTCAAGCCAATCTGATCGATCGTATTAATTAATTTATTCGTAATAGCTAGACTTTTTCCTGTCATGCTAATTCGATTGGATTGAATTAGGACGAAGAAATCAGATTAGACGCATTGGTACGATTGCCATTTCTCTTATCTATCACATCATGTTACCAACTGCAAGTCGATGGGTATAATTCGTCTCTTAGTTCATCACAAATCAGTGATCTTATTGGCATTTTTTCTCTATATTTCTCTTTGGCTAACGATTCAAACATTGAAACAATCAACAGAACAAGTAAATAAACTGAAATCATGACCAAATTAGTTTCTTTTCGTGTTTGTTTAGAACTCAAATCAACTTCGACCTTCTCCGAATTCATCTTTTTATTTTATACTTAATCATCTATTTCAATCAAACTTTAAAATTATCTTAATTGACCCATTTGTCCTCGATTTTCTTTTTATTTATCAATTACCTTTTGATAAACTCGACAAACAATTAGTAACATTTGCTATTGTCGATGAATCGGTTCAACTCTTACTACAAACACTTCAACGAACGTCTGTCTTCTCTGTACAAACATCAACCACTACTCAGGACAATCATCGAATTTCGATCGATCATATTTTTATCACATATCAACATAAAATCCTTCATCTAGCCGTTCTACACAAATATCACTCGTTTTACCTTGTCCAACCCAATCATCATCGATTCTCCGATGATGACAATGTTCATCTACCTTTTGGTGACAAACTACGTGCTGTTGATCAGTAAGGTCTCTTATAAGAAAGAAGATCTATTTGTTTCTTTGTGTGTCATTAGTATCGAAAGTGAATCATATGAATATTTGTTTTATTACCCTCGAAACGTGCCGCATTTCTTATGGTTATACGAAACATCGGAATTTCTTCACTGCAATCGACAATTAGCCGATCAGATGGAAAATGATCTGCACATTTATCAAAATACTAGTCAACTGAATATAACTGTTGTACCTATGAAAAATATTGCCTTTGCCTTAGATAAACTGCAGAAACGTTATTGGCTTGCGGGCGGTACTCTACTCGGTAATTTCTTTTTTTCTTGATAATTGCTATGTGATTATGATTGACTATGTCATTTAAAAAGGCTGGTATCGACATTGCGGTTTAATACCGTACACTCTCGATGCAGACTTTGGTCTCTATGCTGAAGAATACGATGAAACTGTTCGAAGTCATTTCCTAGGAAATCCGATAACGTATCTCTGGGGTGCATTGGGACTGGTAAGTAGTTCGGTTTGATTTGTAAAATTTCTATAAATATTAATTGGAAAGAGTTTTGCTAGGTGAACGATTCATTGGAGTTTCGTCTATATACAGGGCGATTTACATTGGATCTGTTTTGGGCATATCGCGACGGAGATCATCGTTGGTGTGGTTATCAAACCAATCGAGTGAAATTTCGGTAGGAGTTTGCTTTGATTTACACAATGATGACGAGATTGAATAGAAATAGATGTAATTGAAGCATGTAGTTCAATGTAGAGCATCGTAGAAAAAATGAATTTGAAAGTAATGTATGTGAAGAGGAGAAAAGAATGGGCGAGTCAATTATAATAAGTCAAGTGTCTCTTCGATAGAAGTAGTAATCGAATGAAGAGCTGTTTCTCGTTATTTTGGCAGTGGATAAGGAAAAACACAAGGTCAATTCTTTTATTTCCGTTTTCTCTCATCTTACAATTGAGGCATCATCATTTCTTTCGACTAAATCAGCTTTCTATGGATGATGTTTTTCCATTTTACGTTAGCTACATTTCAAATAAAATATTCGTTCTTTTGAATAATTTAGACGTACTCTTCCATTACTCGAAAAACTTTGTTCATGCGATCTATTCGGTCATCGATTCTCAGTGCCATGTTCACCTGTGCAATATCTCGATAGCGAGTATGGAAAAGACAAATGGAAAACTCCACTTGAGAAGAACTACACATGGACTAATATGAAATATCATTCAATCTGGGATGATATATCGTGGATGTATGCAGTACGTTTATATACGCGACAGGGAAAACTTCGAACAGATAACTTTGCAATTGAGTGGATATCAAAGCATTTTAATTATAGTCTTACTTCTATTCCATCGTTTTTAAATGTTTTACCGAATCATCCAGTGACACTTCCTCCATTGAAAGCTACACTTGTCTATGGTACACCGATGAAAAGAAAGAGCTCAAGGAAAAAAGCTGCGAAGAATGACGAAAAGAAAGATGTTATTTAAGAAGATCTTCTATTTTTGTTTTTTTCTCCTTTCGTCATTTTTGGTTATTACAAGAGCAGTCATTTGTTTTTCTTTACAATTATATGAACATTAAAGCTATAAGTTTGTGAAAGCAGAATAATGTTTTGTTACGAACAGAGATAATCAACACACCACTTACCAGAATTTCCTTATCTGTTGAAATCGAAAATAATCGATTATCTTCCACTGCAATCTTCACAAGAAATACAGGTGCATTGTTACCACGAAGTCGAGCGATCGGTCGAGATGGCAAATATGGATTCCAGATTCTCACTATTCGATCCATTCCACCAGTCACAAGAACATTCTTTTCCGTGCACAGATCAAATGTTCGAACACCTNAGAGATCGTCAGTCGTCTCAGATGTTTGAACTAGGCGATGAAATGTTATTTATCTGAGAAAGAAGAGGAGGTTGACTTACAGATTGAAAATAGGCTTTGGCTTCGAGATTCTGATCATAATCTTCTGCATCTCGATCGACATTTGTCATTCGAAGTTGTGGTCGATGGGAAGATGAAGACTTTTTCCACACTTCGACACTTCCGGGTGCGTGTCCATCATCCAGAAGGCTGGACTGAAAACATGGATGACTCTGAAGATTACCTTGCGCAGATGATGGTCGTTGAATCCACTCATTATTTTCACGATTGTAGATCATTGTTCAGATCTGTCAAACACGAATCAACTCAATGTAGTGAAAGGTAACAGACGAACAAAATCAGACAAAATACAAAATGAAAAAAACTTCAACAGAGGATGATGTTTTTGTGCAATCGAAAATAACAACAACAACACATCAACACGGATGGTTGAGAAGGTGAACAAGCATGTTGTTGATGGTTGTGAGGATGAAAACGATTGAAATGAGAAACACGAGAAAAGAATGAGTGAGTGGAATTCTTCGTCAAGTCGAGAGAAGAAAAAAGTAAATCAAGATTTGTAGACACGCAAAAAATAAAGAAAAGAGAAACTGTGAATGTTGATGATGATGATGATGATTATTATTTGTTTAAGAAATAGTGATTTTTAGACTTGATTGCTTGTAGTGTGAAATTTTTGCGATTTTAGATGTGGACAAAAGGGAACGGCAATGTGGAATGTATTAGCGTTTAGCCAAACATGAATGCCGAGATGCGAAAAGGCATAGGTCGAATCGTTGTGTTCTGATTGAAAGATGAATTCATGTTATGTAAAAAAGACATGTAATATTTAAGGGTAAAAATAGGGAGAGATACAGTGTTATCTTTTGTAGACATCGAGCGTTATCATTTTCAGTGGAAGTACTTTGTTCGACGAACCTCAATACATAGGTGAGCTTCGGGTTTCTTGTAAAACAAACCAAATTCAACTGGTACTCGACGAACTTTCTGAATTAAATAGAAATTTGATAGATTGGAAAGTGTCGCTGTGTGACATTTCAAATAAAAGTCGAAGTGTATGTCAGGTATCGTATCTATATCTCATAAAATTTATTAAAACGTCATGGAAATGAAAAAGAACGTTTTGTGCCTGAAGAATGTTTTCATAAGTAATCAACATACTTTTCATAAAGTAACGATCGGAACTCAATGAAAAATATCCGAACTATTTAAAAGCGTATTTTTCAGCAGAACTCAAGGTCTATTCGTATGGAGATACATTATCAACGAATGTTATCTTTTTTGACGATGGTTGATCTCAAAATAGTTCTTGAAATACGTTCGAAATCCCGTTTTCGTTCTCTTCACTTCCTAGAACAGTCTCATCTATTTGACGAATGAAAATCGAGGTTGTTGCGACATGAAGTCTAAAAAAGACGACATTGTTACTCAACCCTTGAATTCTCGTTAAGATATCCTCTCAAGCATGTTGCATTTCTCTCCATCAATAAAACATTATTTCAAATAATTATTCAAATATTCGCGAGAATATAAAACATCATCAACGCATGATAATTGCGAATGTCATTACACATTGAAAGACAACGAACAGAGAGGCTTTTCCCTCTATTCTTAATGTTTGATCATTCGATATTTTGTTTATTTCGAAGAAAAAATATTCACTTGTTACATGGATTTATCTTTGTGTTGTTCTATCCAACAAGATATTGAGTTTATCTTGTAAGGTGATCATTCCTTGATTGATTTCGATAATTCTATCTTCCATCTTCTCCACTTTTCTTTCCATCGAGATCACTCGTTGTGCTGTTTCATCTGTCGTTTGATTTGTACTACGTTGAACATTGAAAACCTCCAAAAGACTCACATAGTTATCAGCTAATTTACGTTGTTGTTGTTTGATTTTTCTAGCCCAATATATCGACGTTAATAACTTTCGTTGCGCTTGTATATACTGAATAATCATATGTTTACCCTTTCGTTTCAAATACCAGACTTTCCATCCGTACTTGACGACGTTGGCCGATTGGTTTTTGTGCGCTTTGGCTAATTCGATGCTCGCAACAAAGTTGTGAACATATTTCTCCGATCGTGTCAACTCGAGCTTTTGAGATATAACAGCGACAAGTAAAGCTGTTGAAAATACGCCAATAATCCCAGTGATCGCCGCGATACCTAAAACAGAGAAAGAAAATGGCAACCTCGATTCACATTGTGTTCCACTATAATTAAATCAGTCAACATGATCATATCCGCTGGGTATTGCTGCTAATTTTCTTGTCGAGTCAAACAAACGCTATAGTGTAAACTAGTTCTTTCGTGAGAAAAAACATCATGCACAATAATTGATACATGATTTATATTCTTCACACATATTCGATGTGAAATAGCAGAGAACAAAACAAAAAGAGAGAGAGAGAGAGAGAGAGAACGAGAATTTCATCATGTGAACAATCGATCTAATCAAACCTTCTTTTATTCTTTCTACAAAGACATAAACTCGATTTTTCAAGCTTAATTTTACCTCGCCCACAGTATGTTGATGGCACGATATCACCGTAGCCTAAAGAAAGAAAAGAATAAGAAGTGTTGATCCATGCACTCTGAATTACCGATCGTTGTAAACGATATGATGAATAACCATGTGGCGTCTAACATTGGCATGTGTCCGGTTTTCACGTTGTAATCACATGCACGCATTGACCAACTGGCGATGAAGAAGATAGAGAAACAGAAGGTCGTTAAGCAAAGCGCGGGTCGTTGTTGAATATACGATTTAATAACGAAAGGGAAATTGAATGAAACGCGATTGAGATAACCAAGTGATTGAGACGAGGCATCACGAACCAAATGGGAATGAAGCATTATAAATCGAGCGATTAGATACAACCGACAAAACACTAAATCGAATTGAAAGGATATCAGCTTTTTTGTTATAAGTTTTCATCTCACTTGGTAAACTCAACATCACATCGATCGGTACAAATGCTTGTGGTTCGTCGTTGGTGTTGATTGTTGATGTCGTCATTTGTGTTGTTGTTGTTACTGGAGTAGAATTGAATGCTGTTGAAGAAGTTAACGTGTGCAGTTGGGTGGAACGATACGGATTGATAAAATTGGTGTTCGTTCCCACTTTTTTCACATATTGTGAACTCCATTCGACAAGAAAATGTCCTGGGATTGGATGGATCATGCAAACAAAGGCTTCGAAGATAATTGAGAGTATTTTTGTACGTGTTAATGCAATACGCCAATCATCGATTGAATTATCCACACAATAGAGACTTAAATCAATTCGGTGGTAATAAAACACGAGACCAACGAGAACGATTGTCGTAAATGTAATAGTTGATTTTATAAGTAAGCTAAATGTGGTATCTTTGTGATCAAAACGATTGAATGTCACTTCGTTTTCAATGATCATTAAGAAAATACCNATTGAGAGTATTTTTGTACGTGTTAATGCAATACGCCAATCATCGATTGAATTATCCACACAATAGAGACTTAAATCAATTCGGTGGTAATAAAACACGAGACCAACGAGAACGATTGTCGTAAATGTAATAGTTGATTTTATAAGTAAGCTAAATGTGGTATCTTTGTGATCAAAACGATTGAATGTCACTTCGTTTTCAATGATCATTAAGAAAATACCCAGCAGACCGAGAAAGCACATAAGATCATTTACTCTTCATCCAAGAAAAGACAAGTAACGCTCGTCTAGCGACTCGCTCAGCTGTCTCTCGTAGAAATATTCCTTTTAGCTAGCGGCGGCGCCAGGAATTTTCACTAGGGTGGGCTTAGCCCAACTTAACCCAGACTAGGGTGGGCTCAGGCTATTTGAGCCCACCCTAGAGTCTATTTATCGCTGGTTTTCAAGAAAACTCAGGGTGGGCTCAGATACCTTTAGGGTGGGCTGAGCCCACCCTAGCCCACCCTTGGCGCCGCCACTACTTTTAGCTGTTACATTTTAAAGATATTATTGTGCATATTAATTTATTTTCAGTGTGTTCTTTGAAAAACTATTTTTTCATAAAAAAATTTTAAACGCATAATACCAGATTCCGATTCCGTGACCTTTAAAACCCTCCAGTCAACTCTTATAAAAAAATTTCCTGAAAGGATATAAAAAACTAACCTCAGATTCGTGTTTCTCGGGCTTAAAAACCCTTTGGTCAAATTTTATAAAAAAAACATTTTTTCATAAAAAAATGGGTCTTTGTCTAAAAAAAATTTGGTTTGGTAAAAAATTTCAAAAAACTAACATCAGATTCGAATTCCTCGACCCAAAAAACCCTATGCCCTACGTCTAAGGAAAGGATTTAGATTATTAGTTCTATCTGATTTTTCGATCAATCAGTGAAGTGCGGACACACAAGCAAGCTAGCAAGAAAGCAAACAATGTATGTTTCTAAGACTCTTCTCTACGAGACAGAGAATATATGCGTTCAATGTTGATAAATCCAACAGATGGAGGAGGAATTTCTTGTACCACTTAACAGTTTTTCGGATGCATTTTACAAAACTGATCGGCATATCAGTTTTGTCAACTAACCCCATGTTCTCGTTGTAATGAACAAAACACTCTGGTTTTTGTGTACTCAAAAAGTGAGTACACCTCTAGAATCGATCAGCATGTCCGTCAGGTCGTCCGTCCGTTTATCGGATAACTCTCTTAAATTACATTCAATTGAGCCCAATTTTTCCCTCCAGAATTGTCTCTTCAGTATCTAGGTCGAGTTCGACGATGAGACTAATCGGTCAAGAAATGTCACATTTATTCCAAAAATTCTGAAAAAGTGATCCATCCGCCTTTGAGAGGACTACAGGGATTTTCGAAGAAAAAAAATTTAGCATAAACCTATACACAATACATAATGTAACTCAGTTTCTTGAAGGCTGCATTATGTCTACAAGCCCTATACTAGCAGGGCTACCCCTAGGTCCTCAAGTGCTATACTAGGCGGAATGAGTAGCAGATGCTCGTATAGACGTAACTGCACGATGAAATACTAGTAATAAATAAATGTAGTATTCTACTGCACGAAGTAAGAGGATTGTATGTATTTGTGTAGGTGTATTTGATGAGAATCTGATTATGATTTTTAAGCCATGGGCATAATTTCATCCTTGAGCGCACTACGGAGCTGCCCCTTAGGCCCTACCGATGTTCTCCCCAGGTCGAACAATCCCATACTGGGATCCCATCGGATCCAATATAGGATTTTATCAGATCCTACAGGAATTCGACGAATCCGATGAAATCCTGGTGAAGAAATCGCATTGGATTCCGACGGTCTCGGATCCGATCGGATCTCGTCGGATCCGAAACATGAATTTCCTGGATTTTCTAAGGGTCCTCATAGAACATAGCTAAAAAGATCGCTCATAAAATTTGCAACAACCGACGGGATTTTTCTAGTCGGATTCCAATGCAATTCCGTTTCCAGGAATCCGATCGGATTTTGTCGGATGGTCGGATCCAGTCAGATCCAGCATAGGATTTGTTGACCTGGGTCTTTTTGTTCCGTAGGACGTGACGAGGAGTTCGTTCCACAGAAGTAAGTGTTTGCATCAGCGAAGAATTTGTATCTATTGATATTCTATATCTGTAATGAATGCTTTTCGATGTTAAAAACTCATGTTTATTATGTCAAAATGTGGTACAAACTGAGGAGGATTATACTGAAGAGACAAGAGAGCATCATAGTGACTACCGTTATAATAAAGGCAAAATCCTGTCTTGTTTCTGTCGGATTCACATCCAAGATATATTAAATGACCACCTGCTGTCCCTTCATTAAATCGATGAATTTGTTCCTGAAGGCTAATATTTGACGGAATAAACTGTGTGTTTTTCGGATCAGGATTACTGTTAAACTTTATATATGAATATATAGGATGAGATAGTGCGATCGATAGAGCTTGAATTTGCACTCCTCCCCGTATTGTATGTGTCGCAGTTCTTCTTTGTAACTGCTCTTCAAATGTATATCCTAATATGCTACAAAGTCTTTGGAAAAAATCCCTATTCGTTGTCATTGTATTAACTGCCAACAATCTCATCGAATGTGTTAGTTTCTCAGATCCAACATTCAATATCGAAAGAGAACTATATAAACAATTTCCATCTCCAGTCGTACGTGTCCGAGTATAAACTGAATCGAATGCTCGAACAGGATATTCCACTCTTGTTTCTAACCGCACAGAATTGTCTTTATTTTGCATAGTTATGAACGGTGATTTTTTAATTAGATCGCTGATTATTCGAACTTGACTCACAAATTGATTAGTCTCGATGGTATTATCGAAATTAAATTCAAGAAGAAAGCTATCTAGAATTTTCCTTGGGCCGGAATCAATAATTTCAAAGTTCTCTGAGGAACAGCTTTCTTCAATTTCCATCATATCAGATGTTTCATTAAAGCTAAGATCTTCTAGTTGTAAAGACATACCTAAGTCAATCTGTTCGTTGTCATCAACTGTTTCATGGTGATCAAAAGCAAATTTATTATCAACTTCCATTGCATTAGAGTGATCAGTATCTATAGTATTGTCAATATTGCAAGACATAATTGTATGAAAGTCTTCGGTTTCATTAAGATGAAGTTCAGTCAAAAATTTGTGTTTACTCACCCGTATTGGTTTATAAAAACTTGTTAGACTTTCAAAATAATCAGATTTCAAGTCATTCACATTAGCGAAACAATAGTCAATCTGTGTCTTAGCATTAGTCGAAATTTTTATTTAATTGACTAATTAAAGTAAATCCAAACGATGTCATGTAATCAATAAATTTGTGATTATTGTTTGGCTTCAAATCTATATTAAAATCAGCAACAATAACTATCTTTTCACTGGCTTGTTTAGAAACAGTAATGACTTCATCAATATGCCGCTTCAAAACATCAAAAATGGCATAAATCATGAACGGATCTTGAAAATAATAAAATGCAGAGATGAATATAGTTTGTAGCTTTTTGAAGTACACGTAAGACTCGGATCTGATTTCGAGGTTTCCACATTTATTTCTTTGGTGAAATCAACTCTAGTATCTGTAAGTTTTTAAAGAAGTTTATTTTTCGCAGAACATATGACGCACTCACAAATGAAGCAAAAATTATTTAGCTTGCATAAGATTTTCGTCTTCTGCATCACTGAAACCAATCAGCCGATCATGCTCCCTTCAATATGTATCGCCGTTGTGTTGATTTGCCGACCTGCAAAGATGTAGAAGTCTAACAATGTAGTGTCTTTACTAGAGACTCTCCTCATTAGCAAAGAAAAGATAATTTTTGAAGGTAACAGCTTCAGAAACTTCATTTAGGGTTCTGCACATTAAATACATTAGATATAATTCGATTTAGAAGATGGATTGTAAAGTGAACAACAGTCAAACCAGATCGAGGCAAAATGTTAACAAGTTAGTCGAGTAAGAAGTATTTCAACTTACCACATGCACTTGTGTCAATTGGAAAGTGATATACGTAGTTGGCGTAACTGTGCAAGCTATAGTAGAGACCACCGTCATGTATACCGAATACTTTATTGATGCTATCAGAATATTTAGCAACAACAGTTCCTTCCGTGGCACCTGCGCGCCATTGAAGTACCCTGCGATTTCCATTATCGAAGATGTACATTGTGCCTTCGTCATTGACAATTACTGCAGTTGGATTATAAAGCTCATTCGATTGATTGCCTGGTCTACGACTGCCACCGGCGACAACTACGCCTGTATCATCGCCCAGTGCCCATTTCTTGATGCCATTGGGTTCACTCACTCCATAGACATCTCCGGAACTGGACAGAAAATAAGATTTACCACCACTTACATTTCTTATCAGCTCTATGTAGTTTCCTGTGATGTTGCTGGTCCATTTTAGAAAGCGACCCGCGTCCCGAATGAAAATCGTGCCTGATTTACTTACGATCAATTTATCGCAGCCAGTAAAGTTCGGTGTTGATTTGTCAATTATCGTCTCCCCACGATCAGATCCCATTGGCCATTTGACTATGCGCCTATTTCCACTATCACAAATGATAAGATCTCCGTTAACGTCGACAATCACACTCGTAGGTCTTCTCAGCTCGTCATTAGCATTACCTTCACCGTTACCACCAGCTACTATAACACCGTGTGTTGCGTTCAGTTCCCATTGACCGACTGCATGATTGCCTGGTCCGGCCATAAACACTTTCTGATTTTTATCAATGAAAATATCCTCTGGATACTCAATCCAAAGATCAAATCCGTAACGAAGCCATGGCACCCTTTTGGGCTGATTCCATATAGCCTGGTCGCAGATTTTGATGCTCAACGGTGGTTCTGTAAACAAGGGGAAAATGCATTTTCCCTATTATTCAGCGACTTTTAACGTATCTGGGAGCTAAGTATACATGCTCTAATCGATTACCTACTTTACTTTCAAGTATAAGAAACTCTTGGGCAAAACATAATTCAGAAAATACGACATCAGGAATAATCAGGGTATAATCACTGTGATGGAGCAACATTTTAAGGTGTGTGCAGATTTATTTAATAATCGCCTTATATTCGTTTTGGTTTCGAGTATCCAGACGGCTGCAAAAATAATTTGATACACTGGAGCTGAACGAAATAAGTATTTCGCGACTATGTTTCCGCAAGAAACAATCATAGATGACTAGAAATAGTATTCCTTTACATTATATTCAGACCTCATCATTTTTTGCTAATCAAAGAGATGTTTGGTAATCGCTTTACTGTCATTTTTTTAAAAGAAAGACGTCACATTGTGTAATAAAGAAACTTGCATGAAGAACCTAACACGAATAAAATACGACAACTCAAGGTTTCACTTTGAGTTTCACATTTTTCAAACACAAATGAATTAGCTTTTTAATCGGAGCATCGCAGTAACTTATTCCTCTTTCGATATTCTCTTACGAGATATTCTCTGAATTCAGAAAGACCTCCGTTATTTTCCTCCAAATGATCAAGTTAAATACTTGGAGCCATTGATTATTTACCAGCGCATAATGGTGTAACGAAAAGGAGTCCAGACGACGAAATGCTCTGATTTCACATTAGGTGAAAGGATAACCTTTCACGGAGGAATGAGTGCGATGTCATCACTTGTTTCTCGGTTCTTTCATCCTGCCTCACCATCGATGCAAAAGTCAGCGGAGTATTGCGACTTTTAAAATAGAATTTAATAAGGGAACCGCCCGAGGTAATTAACGGATTTAGGTTTCATCTGTTCGTGGTAGATAGTCCTCGATGAGGTATGAAAAGCCTCGACAGGATCCATGCCCATGGAACTTTTATCTAGAGTTATAATTACATGTTTTATTGAAATTTTTGCATATAGCTAGGTATTTACCAACAGATCAAATATCAGTATTTAGAACTGAAACTTTGGTTACAGACTAGTCTATAGATAGGAACAATGCTCTGAAAATTTCAGTAAAACATCTATAACTCTAGATAAAAGGTCCATGGGCACGAATCCTTTTGAGGCTTTTCATACCTCATCGAGGACTATCTACCACCAATAGATGAAATCTAAACCCGTTAATCACCTCGCGCGGTTTGCTCAGAAGACAACCCGACAAAAATATGGGATAAAGCGCTCAACAGATAACTCTCATTGGAAACACTTACCTGTAACAATTGATTGATTCGTTGAGGGAAGAGATGGGCAAACTGCAAGGTCAGCAAGAGCTTTTGGATAGCACACTGGCCGGTTGCTACATCTGTGATTTTGTATGCAGACAGTATTTGGACGGAGGCATGTCGATCGGTCAACTTCACACGGCGTTAGGGTCGAGCAAGAGATCATTATTGAGGCACAAATCCCTTGACCATTTGTAAGCGAATGACATTCACAATCGGTGTTACTCGAACATCCGCCACGGTTTCCAGAAAATGCACCCGGGTTGCATCGCGATTCAACAGGCAAAGGCGAATCAACTGTAATTAAACGTTTCTTGTCGATGATATTGTTGTCTTTTCCGCTTACGTGAAACGATGTCCATAAAACAACTGTAAAAAGAACTTAGAGTGAACATAATTGAAATAAAGTCGAGAAAACCTACGAACCGGTGACAAAATATAAAAAGAATACCATTGTTAACGATTACCTGCAACGTTGTTTTAGTTTCGTCTTAACTTCACTATAACTGTATTCGGTTAGCTCGTTTATATACAATGCCAAACACATGTTGATAATCTCACTCAATAATTTTTCCCCCAAAAACGATGACGATAAGTAAACTAGGTACGAATAAAAAATACTTCATTCGTCAAGATCAATATCTACAATAATAGACTGATGCGACTATCAACACCTGGTCAATCGTACGAGACACGCAAATACCAATGTGAGACGTAAGGACGAGTTTTCGAATACGGTACCCTATGTTGCATTGAATCGCATGGATAGATTACATATTCACCCGAAAACATACAATTAGTTAGGTCAGCTCGAAAGTGTTTGCAGTAACGCTTCACTCTCCCATGACATGACGAAGCAGCGTTTCGTTTTATATGAGGTTGCACAAAAAGCAACAGGCAGTTTTACGTCGGATATCCTGGTTCCGACTTCGTCTGTGCACCGGATCCAACTCTATGGACGTTATTGCTTCCAAAAAATACTTTGGAAAAAAACCTTTCTTACCCCATAAAACACTAAAAAGCCGCAAAACAGCTCAAATTTTAGAAAAATTGTGCCACATTCGCCATCTTGAGGGTGTGAAGGTGAGTCAAAGCTTGCCATCATCGCGATTTCATTCCAGCTAAAGTTCGCCTCAGATGGCTTTGTACTTTAAATGATCAAAAAACACTATTTTAAGAATAAAATAATGTCTAATAATCAAACTTAAGCCAAATACACTGTTACGAAGGAAAATTACCTATCTAAATATCGAAAAATATCCAGATTAGCTAGTTTTCCATTTGTAATGGTATTTTATCACAAGTAACGCTCGTCTAGCGACTCGCTCAGCTCTTTCTCGTAGAAATGTTCCTTTCAGCTGTTACATTTTAAAGATGTTATTGTGCATATTAATTTATTTTCAATGTGTTCTTTGAAAAAAAATTTTTTTCATAAAAAATGGGCCTTTGTCTAAAAAAAACTTGGTTTAGTAAAAAATTTAAAAAAACTAACATCAGATTCGAATTCCTCAACCTAAAAAAACCCTATGCCATACGTCTAAGGAAGAGATTTAGATTATTAGTTTTATCTGATTTTTCGACCAATCAGTGAAGTGCGGACACACAAGCAAGAAAGCAAACAATTTATGTTTCTAAGACTCTTCTCTACGAGAAAGAGAACAACACTATGCAGATTTACATAAAACGAAATATCAGAGATCTCTTCATTAGCAGTCAACTATCTAAACAGTATTCTAAACATAAACACACTTGAAATCTTTAACTATGACCACCCATAATATAACAGAAAAGCTTACTACAAAATTTCAACGGAATTCCCCATAATATTTAATATCATCCACCGCATGACGAAAGAATGAGCGAAACGTAGTGCGAAATGAGAAGGAGTTTCAATGACATTTTCGGTACTAACATCGGACAGATATCGATTGGATAGATGCCCTCATATACTTCAAACTACGAACATGATTCATACATTTTATTCTTCTTGTTTGTATTCTATTGATTTTCTCTGTATGTGTTAACGATTTTTCAAGTCATATATCCATAAAATAACATACAAATCGATTCGAAAATATCTAATCATCACAGTAGAAGAATCACTATTATAGTGTTAATCAATGATTTTATTTCAATATTTTTTTAAATAGATGGCGACTTGAATTAAATTTTTCCTAGTGTTGTTTTAATTCAATATTGATCCAAAAGCATCATATTTTTCCAGCTTCACTAAGACTTTACCTACCATAAACCGGAAAAAATTTTCGTTTCTTGAATACCGCTGTCTTATCGCATATTATGCGTGGCAGAACGCAAGAGATTGATTTTTTTCTTGCGTTCTCTCAGAACACAAAAGTAGTCAGTATACAGAAGGCGCAGAAAAAACCAACATAACAGTCGTTGCACATTGTCAATCTCGATAGGTTTATTTCATCTTGATTTGTTTGCAATTTCGTTTCATTGTTCGGCCGATATTTGGTAAGATGTCGAATACAATACCATCGAAGATTGAAGATTTGCCAAATGAAATTTGGCTTGAAATATTTGATTATTTTAATTGGTTCGATCTGTTTTCGTCATTTTATTGTTTAAATAAACGAATTTGGCATCTACTTATGTGTATTAAAACTCTTTCAGTGCATTCAACTTATCCTAAAGTAAATTATATTTCTTAAAGAAGTTTATCATATTAAATTTTCAGTTTCTATAGAAATCTCCTTCAGACCAGTTTAAACGGACGTATTCTCAAGTAGTATCCAATCATTCATACAATGAATCGTTCAATATTACAAAACAGTTTAACTCATTTTCAGGACTTAGTTCATTGATTGCTAATACATTTTCTGATGACAATTGGAGATCTACAGATGAATTCGTCAAGTTTATCTTTACACAACATTGTCCTATTATTCACTATTCACATATACAATGGAATGTACTTGAACATAAAATGCAAATGAACGACAATTTATGTGGTACATTTCATTTTCCATTACTTCGTCATTTACACGTAAATAAACTTCCGTTTCATCTTGCTATTCAATTATTAAATCAATGTATCCATCTTCGTTCTTTCTCTGCTATACTCTACGATTATCCCTCAGAAAAGAACGTAACAATATTATCTACTCAAATACCTGATCGAATTCGAATTGATGGTCTTCCATTATTGATAAGACTTAATTTAGGAGAAGATGATTACCAAGAAGAAGAAACATCGAGTACATTCCTAGAATTTTTATTACCATGCTGTCCTAATCTACGTACATTTAACTTCAATATTCGTTTTCAAGATGTACCTGATTGTCGTGATAAAATACTTGATCCAAATTGGTGGCAACATATATTCATAACAAACAATCGATTAAATCGAATTTTCCTTCACTTTGAATGGTGGACACGAGATATTAGGAATAATGGATTTACAAAAATTCAACGTTTTCAAACATCGCCTTTTTTTACTGCTCTCAATGTGAAAATCGAACATGAGTTCAAAAGTGAATTTATGCGCTGTATGGAATACAATCTTTATATTAAAAATTGACTTGTATTGAACAATAGGAGTGAGAGTGTTTTCTATTGACTCCACATTATACCCTCACCCACACCCACACCCACCCCAACACCCTTTCGTCTTCTTATTCTAAGCAAATCAATGTCTTCTAATTATCTTTCGCTCTTCTTTGATTTATTTGTTCATTGTAGATATTCTATGTTATGCACAGCTTCATCGCTCTCTTCTCGCAGAACAATAGTTCCTGAAGCAGGATTCCATCAATTTCGAACAAAGTCTCTGGAATATCACCGAATCGGCTATTTCCGTGTCGGATTGTTTGACCTGGGCTGCGAACAAACGAGAATATTATTTTCGACGAAATGGTCCACAATGTGAAAAACCATCGGTATATTTTCCTTGATATTATTTGTCTAGAATAATATATTTGATTTGGTCAGTGTAACCTCTTTTTTCCTTCATTTGCACAAAGCACATGCTGGATGTTACACTCTTGCTTCATATATCCGTCTATCGAAGTGAAAGGATCACAGAACAGGATGGACGAAAATTATTTTATCACTTTTTCATCCTATATAAAAGGTCATCTGATGAACAGTGTACAGATATATAACTTTTTATCTTCAACAATTTATTGTTATTTCCTCATTTGGGCAAATGTGCATTATTGAAGAAGTATGTGTCTCTTATTACTTTGGATTTGATGCATCCTTTTCTCTGTACAATCATCAGTTTTCCTAATTGATTTTCAATTGACTATTGTCAATTTGTCGTTCAATTTCTTTCTTATATAGGTCGAAAGACATTCCAACAGCCAAGCGATGGGTGTGGTTGCAAACGCCAACGGGAATTGGTGGCAAAGTAATCCATAAAAATTGTTTTGATTACCCGATTTTCTTCCATCTTTGTAGAGACGGCGGAGGATCTCGTAAATGTGGCAAAGGTTGCTGGCAAAATTGTAAAGTTGGTTTTGAAACAATCCATTGAACCGGATCGATTGGATTTCGTTGCGTAGTGAGTTTTGAATTTGAGATTGCGATCTGTTGAAGATTCATATTGTGTTTTTAGTTATGATGAAACATATTCGGCTAAAAAATTCCATGATCATCTTGATTCATTCAAAGCGTTCGGTGGAATACAAATGACATGTGACATTTATCAGGAGACGCCGCGTGTAGAATGAAAGAAGAAAATATCATCGATTTTTCTGTTGTTGTTATCACAGAAATCTAAAATAAAAGTTTTCCTGCTGTCAAAGTTTGAGAAATACCCGCACTTAACCACAACGAACAACGGCACACGTGTTTCTCTCAGTTACTCACGGCAATCGACTTTGTTGTTCTCGGTTCACCATTTGTTGTCCAAGCTGAGATCGTTCCATCCTATTCATACAGCACATGACAACGAAAGACAATGATACTTAGATGTATCCAAAAGTAATGTCGTCTCTATTTTATTTCTTTATTAAAGAGTCAAAAGAAAATTCTTATTCGACAGAAAGATAGAGAAAATGAAGCTCTATTTTTCTATGCTACTTAATTCTTCTCCAGTTAATACCATAGTAATAAATTTTCGATGTGAATTATGTTTGTGTAAAACTTAAGTCACGAAAAGTCATTATGAATGTTCGCATTTCTAATACATTATATAAAAGATCGGTATATACCAAAAGATGCAGCGTGAGAAGTTCTACAATCTACAAAATTTATTTTGATTGTGCACTTTTTGTTTTTAAAAAAAAGTAAAACACCATGCAACCAATTGTGGCTGTTGCGAAAAATCATTTTTTTCTTCTACACAAGCGAAAAGCTTCTTTCATTATTTCCTGTTTTATGATCGAATACGTCTTCTTAAAAAACGAAATACAACAAAAGATGACGCGTGAAAAGCTGTAACAATTACACAGGACAGTTTATTTTAATTATGTACTTTTCGTTTTCAAAGTTCCATGAAAGTTGATTACGCAGAATTTTTCTTTTTTTGAAAACAAAAAGCACGGAATAAAAGCAAACTGTTCTTTGTAAATTGTAGAGCTTTTCACACTGCATCTTCTGGTATGCTTATAATCTTTGATGAAAAATACTAAATGAAAAAACAAAATACAAAATGCGAACACTCACAATGGCCTTTTCGTGACTTAAGTTTTACACAAACATGATTCACATCGAAAACTTATTACTATGGTATTAACTGAAGAAGAATCAGATAGCATCGAAAAATAAAGCTTCATTTTCTCTATCTTTGTGTAGAAAAGGAATTTTCTTGTGCCCGTTTAATTAAGAAATAAAATAGAGACGACATTACTTTTGGATACACCTAAGTATATCTCATAAAATTTAGTAAAACGTCATAGAAATGAAAAAGAACGTTTTGTGCCTGCCGAAGATATTGGGAGTAATGATCATAACTCAGTGAGAGATATCCTAACCATTTAAATCCATATTTTTCAGCAGAAGTCCAGGCAGGCAATAAGAGCTTCAGATCTGTTTGTACAATGATACCCTAGCGGACAAGAATTTGAAAAAACGCCTGGAAACGTACAGTCGGGAGCGTCGACTATTATCTAAACACGTCAACTAATAAAACGCCAAAAAAGCCGTTTTTAACGTGTTTTTTTGTACAAATTTCAGAAACTACGCATTAAACCGCTGAAAAAGTGAGATCTGTACCGCTTTAACGTTATGCAAGTGCCAATTACACGTTAAAAACGCCCTTTTTGGCATTTTATTGGTTGACGTGTTTAGCTCATCGTTGAGGTTCCCGCCTGTCGGTTTGCAGGCGTTCTTCCAAATCCTTGACTGCTTGGGTAAATTATCAACGAATGTTATCTTTTTTGACGATGGTTGATCTCAAAATAGTTCTTGAAATACGTTCGAAATCCCGTTTTCGTTCTCTTCACTTCCTAGAACAGTCTCATCTATTTGACGAATGNATTGAGAGTATTTTTGTACGTGTTAATGCAATACGCCAATCATCGATTGAATTATCCACACAATAGAGACTTAAATCAATTCGGTGGTAATAAAACACGAGACCAACGAGAACGATTGTCGTAAATGTAATAGTTGATTTTATAAGTAAGCTAAATGTGGTATCTTTGTGATCAAAACGATTGAATGTCACTTCGTTTTCAATGATCATTAAGAAAATACCTAGCAGACCGAGAAAGCACATAAGATCATTGATTCTTCGTCTAGGAAAAGAAATTTTCACAATGGATTTATTTGATGTTATTCATACCGTTCGATATGTAATTCTTTTCGTCGTGCTAAACGATACCCAACATTGCCCATCAAAGTTTTCTTAACAAATCGTCGTTGTTGAGTTGGAATTCGGCGAAGTTCATAGGAATTCAGTGTTGAATTGCCTTGTTTATTCATTCGCTGAACTTCTGTTGATGGCGAATCGCGTCCAGTTGTAATGGTGATATTTGTCGAAGGTGAGTCCGTTGGATTTCGCATTTCCGTATACCTGACGATATGAGAAGTGGCAGATGTTAATGGGAGACGTGGATTGTCAGCAGAAGCCATGAAGTCGCTTTGATGTTTTTTCGTATATAGTTGTCAATTAAAATGTCAATGTTATTAACATTGATCAATTTGTTTTTCCTCCTACGAATTTCTTTTTCAAGCAAATGAAAAAGAGAAAGAATAGTAATCAAACAGAAAATAAAAGAAAAATATGCTTGGTCACAGCTGTGAAAAAGAATGGCAGTTTGCGCAAAGAAGAATGGAAAGCATCATCACATAATCAAATGATGAGCAGAAGAGAGAGAGAGAGAGAGAGAGAGAGAGAGAGAGAGAGAGAGAGAGAGAGAGAGAGAGAGAGAGAGAAGAAAAAATGTAATAAGTTCTGTTTTGTGTTGCTATCTTGTTGGATCTATCTCGGAGGGTGACAGAGAATACTGCTGTTGTTACTTTCATTAGCAAAACAATACGAAAAACAACGAGCCAAATGAATGTGTAGATCGAAACAATGAAGCGAGAAAAAGAAAAACGTTCACGTCACGTACACATATTCGACTAGTCCGGATTTTTATAAGCCTATCTGTTGCTCTACTTCTTTTTGTCCAAATCTTTCCTAGGAACGCAGAACTTCTCAGCATAAAACTGCTTTTCTTGGCTCCTCAACATTCTTCTTTCTAAACATAGATCTTTTCTTCAGCGAATGAGCGGCGTTATGAGAAGTTCTCTCTTCCTTTTTCTTGACTCGGTCTATAAAATTTTGTCGCGAGAATACAAATGTAACCTATCTCAAATGACGCTACCTATTCAAAGGTGTTAATGTTGTTTTCTTACGGAGATTCTTTTGAGCGCATAAATGAGATAAATTCTCGTATAACTCAGCAAGAAAATTCAAACTGAATAGAATAGTTCGAGTTACTTCTATTATTCTTTTACCTACTTTGTTTAATCGTCNCAGGAAAATGCTAATTTTTTTGGCAAACTTCGATTGCAAAAATTACTCGATAGAAACTCATCATTTGTCACCAATATTATCCTCCATTAGTTTTAAGTGGAACCCATGCTCTGGAGCGGAGATCCAGTACCCTATAAAATCCTGGCTCCGCCACTAGGTATGGACATGATCAAGTTGCTGAAGAGAAAAACGAAAGTGCGTGATGAAATCTCGTCATTACTAATTTAGTTCACGATCTAATTCCTCGTTTAATTTCATAAGTGAACACACACATACATTTGTCAACATTCTTTTGTTTGATATAATCCAAAAGAAGATTTTCCTTCTTCGTCTTCTTGCGTGTAAACGCTTGCAACAATCATATCACATTTACATTAGATTTCCTGAAAAAGGATCATCAACAAATTCGATATTGCACTTGAGCATGTTCGTGAGAGATCGAACATCGGAAATGAATCTTTGACAATCGACGTACAATAAGGAAATCAAGCAGATTTGACGACGTTATCTCATTCTGTAACAGATGTCACACCTTGGATTGATAACTTCACTTGAAATATATATTCTTTGTTGACTGAGTGTCGTTGCTAAGCGACCGAATACTCAATAAGAACGAGATTTTGAAAAATAACAACATTGGAAAGAAAATTAATTGAGGAAAAAAGAGTCTTGTCAAAGGTGAAGTTTTTCTGTTTGTCTTGCTTTGAATTTGCGGGAGTTTGTAAGAAGAAAGATGTGTAAATATTCCGCCGGCAAAGGTTTTCCATCTATATATAGGGAGTGTGTCATTTGATTTTGTTTTTATGGTCATACCGAGTACTTGACAACACTTTTCGATGGCTTCAGATCATAAAACTACGTTATTTCAAACAATTTCATTCAAAATGACGCGAATTGTCCCACTTCCATCGTTGATTGACGACCAAGGTGAGCAAAGAACAAATCTGTTAGTTCCATGAGTAAACTTCTGCCTTTTATTTGAGAATATTTTTTATCATAATCTAAATATTTGATAACTGTGATAATATCTGAGAGATTTTTAGTTGGATATGTTTAATGGCAAATTCTCTCTTTGCTTAAGTATACGTGTGTCACGACAAATTTTCTACCGAGTTTTACTTATATATAGAAATGTTGGAGCGAAATCCGGCTGATGATACCAATGCTGGAAATCAAAATGTGCAACGGCGACAATCGACGTTATCGTCATCGAATCCGAAAACTGATTTATTACCAATTGATTGTATTCTGGTATACGATCGGAATGATCATGAGAAAGATAACGATAGTGATGATAATCATCAAAGGAAAAAACGAAAGAATCCAGCGGATCGACGACAGAAATTCGAAGATTATCTCGCTAAACGACAAGGATTAATAGTTGAACGTATTGTGAGTAAAAAGAGAAAATTTGTTAAGGATTTTCTGTCTTTTGGGTTTATTAGAATTCCAGATCGAAGAAAGTCGGTTTTGTACGAGTCCATGCTCCATTTGAAGTTTTATTGGTCATCGCGGAAAATATGAGAATGAGATTACCAATCGAAGTAAGACAAAAAAAGTTTTTTTTTTGCAATAAATCACTTGGTTTTGATAGAAAATTGACGATGATGATGATGATGAAGCTTTGTTAGTTAATCAAACAATTCACTCCAAATGGCATCGATTTCTGAAATGGATAAAAAAGCCATTTTATCTTGATCCATCACTAAAAAAAAACGATCCTGATTATTACACAGCAATTTATTCATCGAATGTCGAGAAATTCAAAGAATTATTTGATACACTTCGTGGATCGAAGGAATTATATTTCACACCAACAGAAAGAAGTTTATTAACACATGAGCTATTAACCAGAGCACATTTTGATTATGATGTCGAAGAAAATCAAACACCTTCTATCCCTCTTCCACGTAAGTTACAAATAAAGTCTTCTAAGTCGATCTTTGTTCGTCATTGTTAGACATCGACACAACAATATCAATGGAAAGAAGTACCAAACGACCTGGTAAATTCAATAGAATCTCTTATTTTCGCAGACAAAGTGTCACACATGCTTTTCATTCTAGGCATTGATCGATTGATCGCAAAGAAGGTCTATGAAAGTTATTTTCCTTTACACGAAGTAAATTTGCTTTTCAAATGTTGATTTCTTCACATTTTTCTTTTGAAGCCGTTGCGAAATATTGTCACGAATGTCGATGATACCGATCTGAATGATCGTGAAGTGAGTTAGACTGAGTCCACTTTTCGATTTGTACGTGTGTGGTTGAATAGAAATTGAAAAAACATTGGGCAACGATGCGACGGTGTTTGAAATTTCAGCCTTTATCACTAATTCGTTCGTATATGGGAGAAAAAGTCGCGTTTTATTTTGCACTTTCGGGTTTTTATAATCAAATGCTGATTCCGCCGGCGATTGTCGGATTGATTATATTTATTTACGGCGCAGCATCGGTTGTTTCGGATCAGCCAACGTAAGATTTGCTTTAGATTATAATAAAATCGTGTTTTCATTTTGATCTAGGTCGGATATTTGCGGAGATTATGGCAAAAACACAGATATGTGTCCTCGGTGTGATCAAACGTGTAAATTTTGGAAATTAAATGAAAGTTGTTTGTATTCGAAAGTAGAAAAAGTCCCTTAGGATTAGAATCAAAGTTGCTCATTGTTATTTTATAGGCTTCGTATGTTTTTGACAATGCAGCAACAGTGATCTTTTCGATATTAATGTCTTTATGGGCGCGGTAGGATAGAAGTAATATAGAAAAGATATTTTGAACTTTCTATCTGAACATAGATGGTTTATGGAATTTTGGAAACGTCGACAAGCAGTTTTGCAATATGACTGGGTAAGACCAAGATGGATTTGTACTGAAAGGAAGAGTTGAAGTTCGGTTCGTATCAACAGGATTCAATAAATTTCGAAGAACATTTGGAACCTATTCGACCGGAATTCGAAATCAAAGCAAAGAAGAAAGGTGAACAAAGAATCAATCCAGTAACTGGGGTAGGAACGATCACGAAAAACTTAACTATGATGAAACATCGTTTTTTTTAGATCAAAGAACCTTACATTTCAACTAAAAAACGAATTCCATTCTATGCCATTGCATTTGCTGTTGTTTTATTTATGGTACGACGAAAGATATTTTCAATTGAAAAGAATTTCTATTGAATTTAGGTAGCGATTGTTTGTGTCACTGTTTTCGCGACGATTGTTTATCGTGTTCGAATGGATCGTATACTGAAAAAAGATCCGAATCTAAGTTCACGTTCGTCAATTATCATCACCGTGTCAAGTGCCATTATGAATTTAATTTGTTCGGTAATTTTATCGCAATTTTATTATTGGATTGCAAGGAAATTAACTGATTTCGGTAAGAGGAACTTCTTGGAATGATTGTCTGATGAGAAGATTCGTTTTGATAGAACTTCATAAATATCAATCGCAATATGATGATTCATTAACGATTAAAATTTATCTTTTTCAATTTGTAAACTTCTATTCATCGTTATTTTACATCGCGTTTTTCAAAGGAAGGTTCGTTCGTACTCGAAGAACGTTTCAGACAGATGATTCTTTCCACTCGATTTAGATTCAATGAATATCCATCGAAATATGGAGATTCTGACTCCGGTGATTTTACTGAACAAGTAAAAGTTTTCTTTCCAACTAACATATTCACTGATTAATGTTTCAGTGCGACCCAGCTGGATGTCTAGTTGAACTCTCTATACAATTTATCATCAGTAAGAAAATCTCGAGAAAGTGGTGGAAACAAATCAAATGTTTTTATAATTTAGTTATGGTTGGCAAACAAATCATTAATAATTTATTAGAGTTTTTCTATGCTATTCGTCGTACAATTGCACGGATTTTATTCGATCGCGATGAACCTGTACCTCAGGATCAATGGGAAATCGACAATAAACTATATGACTTTAGTTCTATTACACTGATCGATGAATATCTCGAATTAGGTAATATGAAGTTTTTCAAAAATGAAGTTTTAATATTTTCACTGCGAATAGTTATCCAATTTGGCTTTGTAACATTATTCGTCGCAGCGTTTCCGTATGTATTTCTTTTCAAATCAAATTTTGTTTATTCCTCTTCTTGTTTTAGACTTGCACCGTTATTTGCTTTGTGCAACAACATCATTGAAATTCGTTTAGATGCTTGGAAATTCTTATCGAAGTATAAGCGACCTATTCCATTCAAAGCAGCTGATATTGGTATATGGAGTGATATTATATCTGCTATATCATATCTCGCTGTTTTAACCAATGTAAAACTTTTCGATGTAATCATTCGAAAATCATTGAAAAGATTTGCTTTTAGGCTATGGTCATTGCGTGGACATCGGAATTCATTCCGAAAATGGCATATCGGTCTCTTGAAGCAACAGGAGGAAGTCTTAATGGATATGTCGATTGGACACTTTCATATTTTCCTCTAAGTGGTTATAACATTACAGGGAGTGTTCCACCTGGTGCACCAAGTAATCTGACATTCTGCCGGTATTTCACAAAGGATATTAATTGTTTAGAAAACGAATCGATCTTTTCTTTTGAATAGTTATCGTGATTTTCGCAATGATACTGGTCCAAATTATGATCAAACTGCTGTGTATTGGAATGTCACTGCTGCTCGACTTGCTTTCATTGTTGTTTTCGAACATGTGATCTTTTTTATTATTTATTTAATGCAATGGCTTGTTCCAGATGTACCAAAGTATATTCAGAACAAGATCGATCATGAACGATATATTGATCAACGTGAACGATGGTCAAGTAAATTCACCGAAGATAATTTGAAAGAAGCAATGGTGGCCTTAGAAGCGTCAACGAAAATGATGAAACTTCCACGTCGAAATTCGACAAGTTCAAATAATGAAACTAATGAAAATACAACTCGACCACGAAGTCGAGAAAAAGTCTCATAAGAAAACTTGTGATACCATATTTTTTACAATATTCAATTCATTTAATGAGTGACAATACTTTTGGTCAAATAATACGTGATATATTTTGCTTATATCGTGCAAAGTTTCCTTTTCATCTTCTTTTTCACATAAATAAAATTGTTATTGTGTCATATTAACAAATCTATTGACTACAAAATTTAACAAAGGAGAAAAACAATCAATAACTTTTGGAGCAGTTCGCATATTTACACATCACTGTGATATATATGTTCAGGAGTGTAAAACGGTAACATTTTCCCAAGTACAAATCGCATTTCATCAACTAATCGACACCAGTTCGATGTTAATGTTCCTGAATGTAAATCAGCATTCGCTTCAATGTAGAGATCAGTGAGAAATTCTAAAACGATCTTTCCACGTTGGTTCGTGTCCATACCCATCAATGTCATGAAGACGATATTTTTCTCTGCTTTGATTCGGATTAATTTATAATATCCTCCGTATTTCTTGTTTACCGTTTCAAATTCGCTGAACACACTGTCGTCTTCGGAGTTGATATAAACTGTAGAGATTTGAGCTCGACGAGCATCCGCATTGAATAAATCGAAATATTCCTGTAGAGTAAAAGCTCGTCCCATTTCCCTATTCACTTTATCCGATCGACGAATATAAATAGCAATGTATGGACGATGAAAATCGATCGATGGCGGAACGAAATCTCGAGCAACAGTGTTTTGGATATGTGCTAATATCTTAGCATTGAATCGCATCAGATAGAATAACAGTTGAGAACGATACCAATTGAAAGAACGTTTTTGGAATACGGATGGATAAGCTGGTCGATACCAGTGATCGATATCAGCTGCGAGACGGATTACTTGCGTGCCATCGATTTGCGTAGGAACGGAACAATTACTAATTGGAAGAAACAAACAATCAGGATTACTCCATTCACAGCTACCGTATTGCTAAATGAGAAGAAAGATAGAAATCAATCTGTTTAGTCTTCTCTTACCCAACCTCCTGGCTTTTGATAAACAGCAATTCGATCGTTACCTATAGCTGTCGCCAATGCCCATACAATTTGATGTATAGTCGATCCAAATCCAGACCAAGCATATTTATGTATAATGGCAAATCGTTTATTCTGACAGTTCATTGGATTTTGATGATTGAATATCCACTGTTGCGCTTGTAATGTTGATTCAACTGAAAATTCTTCTCGAGTTTTCTCATTACAATGGTTCATAGTCTCGTTTATTCCAGTACCACGATGAGCATGATAAAACACGTCCCGACATGGAACAAGGTTAACAATTCGATAATGTTCTTTATCTGCGACACGCATTGACCAAAGATGAGTCGAATTGTACGCGACTGGAAATGACTGTACACTGTCCTCTTTCATTGATTGTAATTCGGGACCTAACTTGGCTGCTGCGGATGGTTGAATAACACGAACGATTTCTTTCTTTCGATATAAATTCGAACCAAGTAGAACAACAAGGGTAAATGCAAAAACTGTACTCGTCAACAGAATAGTCAATCGAACGAGTTTCGAAACCATCGTTCAAACAAATTATACGTAATTCACAATTAAATTTGACGATCTAAGCGAAATCGAAGGGGAAAGATAAATATGAAAAGACATTCTCTTTCAAATTCATGTTCGTTCGAATTACAATTCTGACGTAACTGTCAAACAGAAAGAAGTTGTTTTTTCTTACGTTTCGTCATGGTAACTTGGTGATTATGAACACAAATGACAACGAATTTTTTTTAAAGCTATAAAACACAAATGTTAGAAAACTGTTTACTTGCTTGATGAAGGGAAAAAAGTAATATTTAAGAGTGTTATGCGAGAAAAAGATGTAATTGAATGAAAAAAATGCTTCAATTTCTGTCGGTTCGGTCAGGAAAGAAAATTAAACATTTCTGCTGGTTTTTTGCTTCTTTTGTTATATTTGTTTTACCTTATGGCAATCAGAACATAAGAGAAAGAAACGTGTAGAGAGATGTTGGATGAGTTGAAGTACTCCTGACGTTTGAATTGACGGTAGACGCGTGCACATTGTTTGCAAAGCTGCGAAGAGATTCTTCCTTTTTTATTTGAGAAAATTATTTTTGTGTTCGTGACGAACAAAATGTCTATACAATGTCGAAATGCGTGCAAATAACAAAGAAAAAAATTTGTCGAAATCAACATCCGGGTAATGTTCCGTGAAAACTTTCGTCGACCGGTTGAACTAGTTTGTGTCGGACAAGAAAAGAAGCAATACATTCAGCGACTTGCTCTGGAGCATCTTCATGAACGGCGTGGCCACTTTTTGGAACGATATGCATTTGAAATTTACCTTGCATTTGACCGACGGTTAGATCACGATCAAGACGATCAACACCGGCTAGGAGAAGCAATTTCGGACATTCACAGGATAAGAATAATTTGGATAAATCTGTTCAGAAGAAAATACTACAATTGGAAAGAAAAAAGTGTTCATACAAACCGGTAAACCATCCTTGCCAAAATCGTTCGGTTTTGGAGAGATCAATTCTCCATGTATATTTTTTCGGGTCGTTCGAAGTGCTTATTGCTGAAGCGGAAGATGTCGCTTGTGTAGTTTTCGGCTCATTTCCTTCAGAATCTTCATCCTCTTCTTGAACAGTGTCACATGAATGAGAAACGACAGGTAATGCTGGACTTGACGTTGAAGTTGTCTCTACTGAATCGATGGGTTGAATTTGTCCAATAATAGAAACACGAGCAGAGTCAAGATTTCGCACTTGACCACTCCGAACCATATATTCAATAGCTTGTTGAGGAGTTGAGAATTGCTTTGGTCTTGAACTAAGAAAACATTGCATCGAACTCAGTGACTCCATTGCACTTCCTTCAACAACATCGATAACACAAAGTGCATCGATCATTGTTGGACATTCTTTTGCTACATGAACAGCCAATGCACCACCTACGTAAACGATTGAAAATCAAGTCTATGTTACTGCTTGTCTCTCTCTCTCTTACCCATTGAATGTCCGATGAGAAAGATCGGTGGTTTATTTTCTTCTTTGTACAAATGGTGTAAAATCTGAGAAATATCTTTCGTAAGAACTTCAATACTTAAATCATTTTCATCGGTGGTTTTCGTTTCACCATGTCCGCGAATATCAACCGCAACACATTGACATCGAACGAGATCTGTAACTGCTTTAGAAAGAACTGCCCAACTCAAGCCAGAAAAGCCACCGCCATGTAAAAAGAATAGCACAGGTGCCGAAGGATCAGCTGTGTTTCGTGAATATACGCAAAAAGTGCTGTCATCGATTTGGATATGATATTTATCATCAAAATAAGTGTTCCAGTTCATCGGGGTGTAGTTGCGAGTTGATAATGGAGATTTTTTTGTTGCATCTGATGATGCTTTTCTCGGTCCAATCGGCGGAAGAGTTTTCGAAAGGATTTGTTTACGTAAGTTTGACATCTGGAAGAAGAAATAAGAACTTTGCAAGCTTTTCTTTTCTTTTTTGGCTTCTTGTTGTTTTATTAATTCTCCTTCTTATTCACTGTGTTTAACACGTTTTATCGAAAAGAACAGAAATAATGATCAGAGAGAAACATGTCACGATTGTTGAACAAACGTCGACTGTAAATGAATAGATCAGATGAAATATAGAAGAAAAAAATCAACAAGAATAGACACGAAATAAAGATAAAAAAGAATGAAAAGAAAATGTTTGGTCAATCAAGAAGACAAGAAAAAACATAACAATGACTTTTAAAAATCGATATTCATTTACTGTTCATCTCGATAACCTTGTTGTTCTAATTCAGCAGCAATTATTCTTGCATGAAGTGTTTGTTGGTCTGCAGTTAATGGCTCTTGATTCTCGGACATAGGTACAACATCCGTAGGTAATCGAGTATAGAGAAGTTCAACATCAGTTGGTTTCAATTGTTTATGTAATTGAGCAATATCACCATTGGCAACAAGGTCAATCGGTTCAGTCGTATAAGCATCTTCAACGATATATTCGTTTGCAGCTGCTAAACGTGCGTATAATTCGTCTTTATCACTCATATTTGAGTAATCTGGTTGAGTTGCGGCAAAACCGTTGACTTGACTTGTGCGAGTGACTGTGGTTTCTTGTTGAGCAACGAAAACACTTTGACGGGTTGCGATCGATGGATCGGTTTTTATACTTTGACGAGTTGTCATTAATGGTTCGGGTTTGATACTTTGTCTGAAACATTAAGGAGAAGAGTTTATGTGGGGAAGGCTTAGTGGAAAGAACTTACCGGTTGGTATAGGATTGTTGGCTGAATTGTGCTTGTTGTTTAGTTTTTTTCAATTCAGCTAATGTTCGATCGTCGAGTTGAATGCGGCCGATAAAATAATCCAAGAAAATGCCGACGAAAATGAAGAAGCGTTGGACAAATACAGTTACAAATGGTTTTTGTGGTATTTTACGAAGAACAATATCATTGATTTGTTTGAGTTTAAGTAAAAAGAAAACTACCAACATTCTGAACCATAATAATGATGAGCGAACCGTCTGAAAGACTTGATTATACAATGAACCAATTGGTGAGAACACTCGTCGAACAACTCCTTGGGAAGTTTTCGTATCGCGTCCTTGAACTAATGATAAAACCGAATCTGCTACGTTCGATGCCTTATTCACTGTCGCTGATGCAACGTTTGAAACCTAAAAACGACTTTGTACAACATTTCTTTATGGAAAATTCTTCCTACAGTCTCTTTGCCATGTTGAATTGTCGATGCAGTTGAATCTTTAAATGAGTTGACCACTTCTTTTGTTGGTGTATTGATAGCGGGATATTTCGATTCAATCTGGCGAATTTTCTTCACAGCAAAATCATCAATGACACGAACTAGAACATTTGTTGGCACTTTCTTATGAAATTATAAATAGTTTCCTTTTACCTGGTCCACTTAATGGTTTAACAAGAGGATTCGCAACAGTAAGAGCAATTTGTAATGACTTATCAGCAACTGTTTCGGCTAAATTGCATGGAAGCCGAATAAATACACTTGTTTCCTTAGCTTTAGCATAAGCATCCTGAAGTTTACTAGTCGATGAGCGCACAACTGAAACACAAAGATTCCAAATGCGGACAATTTCCTTCTCCATCGGACTTTACCTGGGATATCATGAAGACATGTCAGTGTTTGAAAGCCGAGCATTTTTCAACTGAATAAGAAAGAATAACGGTCTGAAAGTATTATAATTCTATACAAAGTACGATATGAAGAAAAATCCCTTTGCGTGTTCTTCTATTTATATCTCGAGAGAAACGGTGTGCACGTGTAGGTTAAAGACCAAATTCCAACGACACGGCGAAAGATACAGATAAGTAGATAAAAAGTGGACCATAGTCAATAGGAAGAAGCTTTTTTTAAGTCGAAAGTCTTGTTTGATTCATCGAGTGAAAAGACAAATTTAGTTAAGAGTAAAAAAGTCATGTCATCAAAAATTCTTCTGGAGAAAATGTAAAAAAAAAGGAAACGTCTAGAAATAGATGACGCATTCATATAAGAGACTACTGCGTACGTTTTTCGACTATATATGCTTACTGAATAAAGATAGAGGGAGAGAGAGAGAAAATGATCCCTCGATCGAATGAATAGATGATATCGAATTCGATTTCTCACGTGGGAAAGAAACGGAGAAAAAAGGTTTTTCTTCGAACATATTTATTATTGAAAACTAAATGCCAGAGGAGAAAATATTGAACATTAAAACAATTTGAAAAATAATTGTGGATTTCATCGAAAGATGAGATTTGTGAAGGATTGTCAGCGGGATAAGATTAGGAAAGCATTTATTTTGATTGCTCAGATGTATACGACGAGAGTAATTGGATAATACTATCGAAACCTCGATGTTTAGCGATTTGAATGGGTGTTAAGCCACGATTATCAGCCCATGAGACATCGACTTTGCCATTCTCGAGTAAATAACGAAGACAATCAATTGCATTATGATTGACTGCCTAAATTCAAATCGAAAATGAAATGTCTGTCGATAGAAATAGGTGATTTTACGATTAGAAGCGGTGTTCGACCGTCATAATCCGCCTGATCGAGATCAGCGCCTGCTTTGTGCCATGCTTTTAATCGATTCAATTGGTTATTTTTGACACAATTACATAAGTACATCCCAATCTCGCTGGGTTTTAGTGTCGCACTCAATTTCGCTCCATGCGATACCAATAATTCGATCATCGTTTCATTTTCTCGCAAAATAGCATAGAAAAGTGGTGTTATACCGACGTGATCAACTTCATTAACGATCGGATGATCACTTGTAGCCGCAACATGAAGAAATAATTCAGCACATTGAATCGCATTGTGTTTCGCACAAACGTGAAGCGGCATTGAACCACTAGGAAAGAATATATTGAAATCAACACTATTTTGAGACTGTTGAAGTTTCTGAAGAGTCTTGATGTCATCCGTTTGTGCACATGACGAAACAATCCAAGGGACCAATGATCGACGAAATCGTATTGATTCCTTTGAAAATAAACGAGACTTTCTGTTTTCTAACAAAACGATCGATTCTTACCTCATCTGTTCTGATGATTGCTTCATCTAATAACCAATTGATGCTTAACGCTGGAACGTCTGTCTGATTCGAACTGACCGACATTTCTCCTCGTAAATTCTGAGCCATTTTCTCTTTCATCAATTTCATATCCGATGAATATTTTCCAAGAACATAAGCTAACTGAAATGAACATTGCTACTCATTTCTAAATAGTAATTTCGCGTACTTTTACCTTCATTAGTGCGGCTTCTACAGTCATATCTGAACCTGAGCAAACTCCAACCTTTTGTAATGCCGTCGCACTTTCGTATACATAGTAAACACTGCCTTTTGCACATTGCGTGCAATTAACAATGAGAACATCACGTTCCGTTGCTTTTCGTAATTCTTCGACTAGATCCGCTCGATTGGTTGGAATATTTCCCGCTCCGTACGTTTGTAAGACAACTCCTTGAATCGGTGGTTCAAGAAACTGTCGCATAGTTAAATACGTTATACCGGGAAACAGACGTAGAAGTGAAACATTCCGATTTAAATTTGTATGAACATTAAATGGACCGTCTGCAGAGCGATCGAATACTAAATCCCATTTAACTACAAAAAAAAAGAAAGTTCGTTAGAGAGGAGGCAGTACGTGTTTGAAAGATTTACCTTGAACTTTGGTGCGAAATTCAGCCAAAGTCGGAAAATTATGTGATTCGAATGCATTTAGATCTTCGCAATCACTTTTTGTTACACGATTACCACGATAGAGTCGATTTCGAAAGTAAACTGTTACCTGAAAATACCAACTTGTACACCAGTTTTCCTCTTAGTCAAAACAAACTTCAGGAATACGATATTGTCCAGCTAACAATAAACTCCCAATAAGATTATCTCGACCATCACTCCTTGTTTCAAAGATTGGGATCTAAATCGAAACCATACATTTCCTTCAATTCCATTTCGTTCGCTTAAACTACTTGTGATCCCGTCAACACCACCGGTTTGGAAAGATTTTCCAACATAAAGGAAAGAGCAGCGGCTGTGTAACTCATCGTATCCGTCTAATTGAAAAACAGTCATTATAATTTCCTTTCTTTCAACACAATACATACACCATGAAGAACTATAAACAAAGAATAAGATAAGTTCTTCTCATTGCAAGACTGTCAGATTAACTTACTGACAAATCCATCAAATAGATCGTAGACTTCCTAAAGGGAATAGACAAACTTCGATGAACTTGATCCTTTTCTCCATTTCGAATAATTACTTTTATATCCAATGCAATATGAATATAATTGTCAAATGTCATGTTCGTTGAGTCGAGTAAAGGAACATATTCTTTAACATAATAAGCGATACATTCTTCATTTGCTAATCTAAAATAAATAATTAAAAAGTTTTGTTTTTACTGAAAAAAAGATCCTTTACGGTAGATAAAGGAATGATTTTCCCACGTCAATTCCACTCATTGTCTCAGCAAATTGTACATTATGCATGATATTCATTCCGCGCAGTGCATCAGGTAAGTAATTACTAACAGGTTCATATGCTTTTCGAACAATTTTCATTCCGATTGTTCCACCTAAACGACAAAATGCATCATGATTAGTTCTCAAATGACTCTTCTTATCCAAACCTGTGTAGAGCACGAGCACTTTGGGTATCGTTAGTTTTGACAATGTCTTTTGAGTTTGAGCATTTAATAATGTAACATGTTTTAAGAGTACATCATCCGATGAACGTCTTTCATTTGTAGATGAAGGTGTATCGACAATCGGCTCGGCAGACATTTTCGGTGTTTTTTTTAATAAAGTTAACTAGAATAGGAAATGAAAGTATATGGCTTTTAAGTCGAGACATTTCTACGTTATTTTTTTTTTGATAGAAAAAAGAACTGGAAGTGATCTTTATTGGTTGTTATGAAGAAAAATGATATATAAAAAAAAATAGACGTGAATACACGATGGAAAGGAGAGAGATTATTTGATCACTTTGCACGTTGATGAGTTCAACGAATATTTAATGTCGAATCTGCTTGTAAAGATGTGTCTTATTTGTATTATTGACAATGACAATACGAAGATAAACGAATATACACACACATACACACAACAGAAATAGTATAAAAGTAGTAAACGAGAAGAACGCATTCCATGCCTGGAGTTTCATAATCGATCAACACGTGTACACACGTAAAAGCATATGTAGAGCAAAAAGAAAAAGAGAGAAAGAGAATATCTAATGTATCATTCCACTTTTTTTGTTCAAGAATAAAATAAACAATGTTAACATAAATTGTCTACAAAAAAAAGATGATAAGTTGATTGAACATCAATGAGTAAAATAAACGCATTTGGTCAAGTCGTTGCTTAAGCCTTTTTGGCTTTGTTTGGTAATTTCGATGTAATTCTACAATACGACATTGAAGCATTACTCAACGATGAGAAACAAAGAACTTACTTGGCCAAAAGCTGATTGATTTGATCGAGAACTTGTTTAGCAACACGATCGATTGGAACCTGGACAAATCGAATAAATAATTCAAGAAAAAAGAAGTTTTTATCACAAACATACCTGATATACTTGATAAATTTTCGGTACAGTGAATCCGAATATTAAACCAATCAGAACGAATGTTAACGCGTTCATCGAGAGGCCAATGTAGAAAAAGACGAAGAGCACAAGACCAAACTAAAAGAAAACCAATCAAAATAGAAAGACGTTGGCTTCGATCGACTTACAAGAACTGAATTTGTCAAATTCTTCCATAAGAAAAGATCGCGTGCGTGTTGTAAAAGATGAGTACCATTAATACGAATCGAATGAGCAATTTCTTGAGCTCGTCGTTCAGAAATGCTTACATCAGGTGAAAAAATCGCTCTAAAACATCAATTGGTCATATCAACACAACAAGGTCATTTCTCTTACTCAAACTTATCATCTTGAATTCGGCCGACGAACGTTGCCATAAGATAGTTATACATTTTGTAAAGACCAACGATGAGAAGAAATGCCAATGACCAGAATGAAATCGCAGCCAATGATGATAGGAACATAAATGTTATGATAACGGATAAGGAAACACCAAAGACAATGCCGGATTGAATTGGTTTACGCCAGTAAATGAGATCACTACCTTGGGTGGGCATCGTTTCCCTGACTTTTTTTTGTATTTGAATAAGTGAATGTCGAGTATGATCCCCTAAGAAGAAAAAAGAAAACTTGGTCGTCTGCCAACAAGAAAATCTAATCTCGTGAGTTTCCTTTCTTTTCCTTTCTATTCGTCACAATATTCCAGTGGAGAGAAAAAAAAAGAAGAAAAAAAAACCCACGATGAATAGATCTAGACCGAAGTACATCCATCATCATCGTTCCATGGCCTTTTTTTTTCTTCTTGTTCTTCTTCCTATGAGCATTGGCGACCGGTGATGCTGATGAAGGAATTACCAAAGGGAAACCGTCATGAATAGGCACGCGCTTATTTATATATACAGAGGATCTGTCACTTGTTTGCAAAAAAGAACGAAGAGCAGAACAGAAATGCTAATGTGTTTCTGCTATTACAGAATAAACTACAGATTGGTTAAATCAGATTTTTATGTATGGAAATGAAGTCAATAGACGACGAGCAACAAACCACACAGATTAAAGAATGAAAGTATATGAAAGATAATTCGAAGGAGGAGGAAAAAACCGTTTTGTCAAGGTTAATTCTTGTCCATAGAAATCGATTTCCCCAAGTTAATTTTCATATCGCAACGGGGTGAGAAAAGAAGTGAGGATGTGACTGGAAAACATGAGATGATTATCACTCGTTGAAAAAGAACTTACAATGTTGTTTTATAATCTTCTTTGTCTTTGTAATAATGTCTTCTGCTTGTTGTTGACCTCTTTTTAATTCCGTTTTGCCTTTATTAAGTGTATCAACAACCGGATTTGTGATATCCGTTTGATGAGAAGGCGTGATCGGCGGTGGAATGAAATCTGGATTTGTCGAATTAATAGCTGGTGTCTCATCTGGATCGTAGCGTGGTGGAACTATTTCCTCATGTCCAACTCCTTCCACTTGATCCGTCATTAGGTCAAAATCGGTACTTTGCGCGTCCATTGTCGAGTAAATTTCTTCGAGAATCTGAAATACTCCCAGAAAGACAAATGAATCATTGGGTTTTGATCAAAAGGAAAAAGGAAGAAATGATCTTCTGGAATAGTTACTGGTAAAACTTAATTGATACTATCGTCGTCGGGTTATGAAACGAAGAATGAGAAAAAAATGATTTTTTTCGAGCGACATACGAGCATGACATCACGGCGGACGGAGTATTCTTCGCTCTATTTTCTCTCTCTCTCCCTGTCTCTCTCGTTGTTCTTCTTCATACTGGTAAAACGGCATGTCGATGTTTTCTTATTAAGTACCGAAAGTCGAAGCATAACTCGCCTTCTTCTTCTTAATAGAAGTTACATGAAAGGAGAAGGAGTGAGAGAAAAAGAACGTAATCGACACACTTCTTCTCATGACCAATTTTATCAACTTGAACAGTTTGCAATTGAAAACTATATGAAGAAATTCGTGAAATAAGCGCAACAAGGTGTTTTGACGCGTGGATGAACGCGTCTTTCATCGAACGAACAGAGAGAAAAAAAAGAATTATTAAAGTAAAGATCTTCTCGAAGAATGTCGAATGTGATAAATGGGAGGAAAAAGACGAAGAGAAATAATAATATCTTAACTAACTCAAGTACGAAATGGAAAACCTCGGGCGACAAACTCGATTAATTACATCATAGTTTCGGCACATGATCAACACTCGAGTTTTATCAAGAGGATGACTAGAAAACAAAGTTTACTCGGTTGAAAGTCAAAGGTAGATTCATATCGACCAAGGGTTATTATTCGGAAGAAAATGTACTTGAAAAAACGAATTGACAACGATGGATTTTGTGTATTATTTACTAATACTTATATGTAGAATAAATATGCGAATGAGTTACCAGCCAATAGGAAGTGGCGACAATATTATCTATGTGGAATATAATTCTTCAGATGTCGCAAAAAAACTCGGTTTGTTTGAGAAATAAAAAATGCTTTTTTTATGAAGAAAAATATCTGAAAAAGCTCGGATGTTTAATCGGAAATTTTGGACATTGCTTAGCAACTGGAATATGAAATATGTCGATGAGTAACGCAACGAGAAAAAGTGAACGGCAACTTGATTGAATAGAGGAGAAGAAAAAAAATCAATATTGATTGTCGATTTTGACATTTCAAATCTGTTATGGAGCCAGACTTGTCTTCCGAATCAGCTAATTGGGTGCTTCCATCTCAACCAGTCACTTTTACATCAGTGTTACCGACTTATGAAGATAATTTACCACATCGAGTCAATCGAGAAGGCATTCGAAATTATATTAAGAGTCGTGGAACGTTAAATATCGGTGATTGGGCTATTGAAGGTCGAAGACCAGCAACACCGAGAGTGACAAATGAAGCAAATGTTCAAGAACGAAATGCTCTCGAAGCACCAGGACCGAAAGTAATCGGACCGGATGCGTTGAGAAATTATACGAGAAATCGTAGTTCAACACCGAATTTGATCTATGGGAATCTCCAACCACCTGATCCACATCATCAATTACGTGTAAAACGAGAGGGTCGTGTTAATTACGAAAAGAATCTTTCAACACAAATGAAATCATTGTTTCATAATTATGGAAAGTTACCATTACTCGATCAACCAGTGCCACATACTCAAGGCGAAGTAAAAGAGAATTTTATATCAATCTCATCGTTTGTCTTCTTATTTAGTTAGCAACGAATCTTTTCTATTCTCATCAAGAAGGTCGCGTTGGTCCGATTCTGAATAATTCTGGCGGCGAGGAACGTTCACCAAGACCCGTACCACACGTCAAAGGTTTCGCTGCTGAAAATAATCTTCAAAAAGGTTACGGTGACTCGCAAATTCTCGAACATAAAGCCGACTATCGACCACGAACAGCTGATCCTCATGTTAAAGGTGAACAAGCTCAACTAAATTATGACGCCGGGCTCGGTCGTCACGTCGATAAACTTCTCAACGAATACGGAAAACTTCCTCAATCAGCTCGTGCTGTGCCCAAAGTGCGATACGATGGTATCGATGTTCTGGAAAAAAGCCAAGGTGGTAATATGCGCAAAGCAATCTCACAATGTCCACCATCTAATCGCTATCTTGAACGTCCAGTACCCGTTTTGCCTTAAATTACTCATTTTCTATCTGTGTGTGCATTTTTTCTCAAAATTTTATTAAACGATCACTACCAATCTCATCAATGAATAAATTAATAATTCACTTCGATATTTTTTTTAATTTCTGTTGCAGACATGCAAGGCCAAGAACGTTTTGAACGTTACACACCACAATTTCCTTTACCGGTCGAAATTTCAAACATGTCTCGTCAAGATACGGTGTGTCAATTCTGTGGTGTTTCATATTTGATTCACAACGAAATCAAAGCACTGGAAGAGAAGTGTCGTAAACTCGAAGCAGACTTGGCGCATTATGCAGGAACAAGTTCACGCGAAGCTGCACTGGAGAAATCTTTACAAACGGAGAAAACACGAGTGACTGATTTGGAATCAACAGTTACAATCAATACTCATAAGTCGGCGGATTTCCTTCGCGGATTTCTAGAACGATACTCTCTTTTTTCTAGAATCAATGAGATGACGAGAAAACATCAATTAGTGCAAGATCAATTACAACAGTCTGAGTTCGCTCATCAAGACACAAAGTAAAACTTTGCACTAAGTATGATTTGCATTAAGTTTAGCGTTCTATAGAACATCTTTTACACAATGTTCGTTGACTATTCGGAAACTATCAAATCCAGTCGAAACAATTCGAAAGGAACATTTCATTTTGAAAGAATTCTATTCGAAACAAATCGATAATTTTAAAACAGATTTTCTCACAAATAAAATGACTCTACAAAAAGGTAAGAAAGCATTTCTATTCGATTTTGTTTCGTATCAAACGTTACAGAAATCCAAACAACATTTGACAAATATCTCAAACAAATGAACGATTATCGAAAGGAGCTCGATCAATGTCAACAACAACTCAGGTAGAAACACAAACTATTCTTTTCAATCTCAACACTCATCATACTTTAGTGAAAGTAAACAATCATTTCGCGATCTCCAAGTCAAATATCAACAATTGCAACTCGATACTAAAGAGTCTCGAACTAAGTTCGTTTTCTCGCTCCCTATCATCTCTTCTTATCTTTCATTGGTTATTTCACATAGAATTCAGAACGATTTCGAAGCAGCTCGCGAAGAAATTCATCTTCATCAGAACGAACTTTCTCATCTTCACGACAAACTATCTCAAAACGAGCAACTCCGCCTTCAATTACACAATGAACTCGAACATCTAAAAGAACAAAGTCAACAATACCAACAACAGATCATCGATCGAGATGAATCGAAGAAAAACATCGATTGTCTCGTCAATCAATACCGACAAGAGCTGACCAATGAAAAAGAACTTCGAACAAGTAGAATTTCTCCTTATCAAACACCCGATTCGCATTGTTCTTTCTATATAGAAACTGATTCCGAACTGGAACATCTCCGATCGAAATTGACTCAATTAACAACTGAATATGAAGAGTTGAACTCCGCGAAGAAAGAAGTCGAAACAAATGAATTAAACAATCGACGAAAACTAGACGAAGCCAATCGATCACGTCAAGCCGTTCTCGACCGAACACGAGATGAATACGAGAAGTTACTACGGAAATACAATGATCTCGATGAAGTTTACCGAGAACTCGTCATTGTTCGAGAAAAAGAATCATGTACGAAGGATTTCTTTCTTTCCTCAAAACGAATTTTCTCTGTTTGTCATTTATGTAGCAGAATCCGATACAATTCGTCGTGAACTTGAACGTTTACATAACGAAAATATCGAATTGACTAAACAGAAAGAGACAACGTACATAACTCATGATATTCAAATGAAAAAACTTCGCGAAAGTTACGCAGTGAAGTTGCGCGAAGCTGAACAGTGGCCCGATCGTCTCCAATCAGAATTAAAACATGAACGTGAACAACATCGCACGCAATTGAACGAACTCGAACGACGTTTGAAAGAGAATTTCACGGCAGTAAGTGAAGAACAAATGAACAAAATGAAATTTGACATGTCAACTTAGGAATTGGAGATCGAAAAACAGAAAACAGCGGGTTTGTTACGTAAATATGAACAAGACAATGGACATTCGACGCAACAGCTTCGACACGAGTTAATTTCCACAGAGAAAGTCACGATCGAACAAAGACAATATTATGAACAACAAATCGATCAACTTCAACGAGAAAAGAACGAATTGAAGAAAGAATTGGACACGCTCAGAGATGTTTTGAAAGAATTGCATGAACAATCGAGTAGGAGTTTAGTGTTCTGAAGAAATTCGATTCAAAAGAAATTGCTTTTAGATAAACAAGAGGCGTTGAGTAATGATCGATTACATACTTTGAAATTAAAAGAAGATTTATTGGCGAAAGAAAATGAATTATTTCAATGTCAATCGAAAATTACGGAATTGCAAAAAGAATTGGAACAAACTCGAGAAGAAGTGAATAAACATGTTTGATCGTTTGACTCGAAATCAAAACTTTCCTTCTAGATGAACACTTTACAAGAAACAGTGCATAAAGAATGTACCGAACGTGAAGAATTAAAAGAAGCGTTAATTGAAGCACGTCAACAACTACTAACTTTGAAAAAAAACGGTACGAATAGTCAATATGAAGATTTTTTCATGTCATTTTCTTGGTTATCTAGGAGTTCTCAATGGAACAGCAGCTCGATCTCTTCATTCTCCACCGGTAGCTTTTGAAGAAATCGAACGACGTGTCATCGCACCTCTTCCACTTCCTCATACATCGACTCAACAATTAGGATCTGTACTTCATCATAAAAATCCTTCTTTTATTCAATCAGAGCCACCTTCGCGTGATAACAGTGTGCAGGGTGATGCAGCGGATATGATGGCTCGACCATTATCATCAGCGCATCAGGTTCCGTATCGCCATAAAACATTGCCACCGATTCATCCTCAACCGCAGCAACAACGTCGGAATGGAAGTGTTCCATCATCGAATAAATCCGATCAGTTGTTGGAGAATCAACGACGTATTGCTCGGTTTATTAAGAATCTTAAATAAGATTTCGAGCTTAATTTGTGATAAATTATCGAGCTTTTTCTTTTGATCAGATGTGGAAGCTTACAAATCTCGACGGTTAATAATGTTTTTCAGAGATTGATGTTGTATGCTCATCGTTTACCCTCAAACCTAAGTCGCTGTGAAATATTGTAATTTGTGTTTGGCATTGTTGAAATAAATCGTTTCTCAATTGATTGAAGTTTTCAACAGTGAAGTTACATTCGCGACAAAAATTAATCGAACGAGTGAGACGATCAAAGCATTGTTGATCGGTTGCGAAACTCCAATATCGATCTGATTGCGGACTGTTGTATTCATTACAAATATCGAGTAGCTTTTTGACGTTGTCAACCAAATAAAGACGGAAATCTTGAGGGTGTGGAGGTACTCTCTCCATCAGAACTAAACGCCAGTTTTCTCAAAAGTCTCACACTTCTTAAGCTTGATCTCTGCTACGTAAACGTTGTTAGAATCAATACCCACGACGGATTGTCCGCACACCCTTTTGATTATCTCTGTTATAAAATAACCTTTTTCAATAAAGTCGATAAGACATCATGTCGATTGACATTTTCATCTTATGATAATGATTATTATTCAAACTTTCAATTGGTGAAGGTCTGTATTACGTACGATGGTGTCTTCATTGGATCGAGCTATTTTGAAAGCATACTGGCGTTTACTGCCAATCTTATTTCTATCGTATATCATCGCTTATGTGGATCGGAATAATGTTTCATTAGCTAAACTGAAAATGACTGATGATTTGCCATCGTTTCGGAATGGAACTGAAACGATATTCTCATTCGGTCAAGGAGCGTTTTTTATCGGTTATTTACTTTTAGAGATTCCTGGCACGTTACTTGTAGAACGATGGAGTGCACGAAAATGGATATGTCGTATAATGATCACTTGGGGCATCTTGGCATCGTTAACAGCGGTTGTGAAACAACCGTGGCATTTTTATTTACTTCGATTTGCATTAGGACTTGCAGAGGCTGGTTTCTTTCCAGGAGTTATTGTTTATTTGACACACTGGTTTCCGGGAAAAGCGAGAGCACGAGCACTTTCTCTATTTCTTATTGCCACACCAATTGCCCAATTGATTAGTCCGAAAATTTCGTATTACATACTTCGGATGGGCACAATAGAACATGGTGTTTATTACCAAACATTATTTCGACTCAGAGGTTGGCAATGGATGTACATTGCATGGGGTATACCGTCAGTTATTCTCGGTATTATTATCCTATTCTTTCTAACTGATCGACCAAAAGATGCCCGATGGTTAGAATATGACGAACGACAGGCGTTAGAAGTTGAACTAGCAGTAGAATTGCAGCGACAGCAAGCCGTTGGCGGACATCTGACTATCTTTCAAGCTCTACGTCAAATCAAAGTTCTTCTTCTCGCTGCCGCTTATTTCTTCATAGTCACAGGAAATTATGGTGTTGATATGTTTCTTCCGACTATTCTACGTGATTGGTATCATTTAAGTGATTCTCTTTTAACATGGTTATTGATGATTCCACCGCTTGGCGCTCTTATCGGAATGTTAATCATTGGATTTAGCTCTGATCGAACGAAAGAACGACGTTTCCATGCTGCTGTACCGATTCTTATCGGAGCAACTGCGTTCGGCTTAACACTGATTCGAAATCAACCATTAGCGACCATTATTATACTCTTTACTGCAGTAAACATTGGCACAAAAGCTTATCTGCCAGCATTCTGGTCTTTACCAAGTTTATTTCTAAGTCAAGCAGCAGCCGCTGGTTCGATTGGATTTATAAATTCCGTTGGAAACATCGGCGGAGGAGTTGGACCAATCATTTTAGGTGTTTTAAAAGATCGTACTGGCTCGTTCTCTCTCGGTATTCTACTTCTTTCGATTTCCATGGGTTTGACAGCTGTTATTATCATGCTTCTTCGATTTGATCGGCGTCATACAAAGTTCACAGTTCATGATTTCGACGATGAATCACCCGCAACTAGTGGAGACATCGAAAACACTCAACTTTAGAAGAATAAAACATTAGTTTTCGTGAATAAATAACTTTTTCGTATCACTGTGTATTTTTATTGATTGATAATTGAAATAAACTTTTCTTTTCATTGTTCACAATTTGTTGGACTACTGTGCATATTGAAAATCGTGACGTGCAAAGAAGCTTCAGAACGATAAGAGGAGATAAACCGGACGTAAAATGAAAGAGATAAATAACTATCACAAAACAGACACTGGAAAATAAAGAAGTGAGTCAGAATAGCGTGAAAATAAAAGAGAAAATGCACGGAAATGGGAATTTCCAGACAAAATCAAATAAAACCGTACAAAATCTGACCAAAACGATAAAAATACAATCTTTCCTTTTGTTTACGCTTTCTGCTGACGTTTCTCGGATGTTAGAACAAACAACTTTCCATCTTTCACAGAAACCAGCAGATGACTCTGATCTTTTGTTAAATAAAGACATGTAATTTGTGTTCGAAGGCGAATAGTTTGAATTGTCGTCATTCTAAACAGTCCAACTGAACATCAATTCAATTTGTCAAAGTTTCCTTACTCAAATAGATCTTTAATAATAATCCTTGCCAAACCAGACGTCGGATCATTCTTTCGATGGTTCACCGCCAAAACGATATACTGATCACTTAAAATCATATCAACCACTTGATATTCAAATTTTCTTGTTCGAATTAAATGTCCATTGATCGAATATAAAAACAAGTGTGTATCATTCTTTTCTGTTTGAACGAGAATGTGTCGCTCATCGGATAATTTCAAATTCACAATTGGATCGTTTTCCTCTGTCGGTCGTAATGTTCGAACGTAAGTTCCATGTTCAAGGGTATGAATATTACAAGTACCGTCTAATGAACCCGAAACAACAAGATCCAACTCTGATGAAACAGCAAGACATGTCACTTCTGCCGAATGACCGTGAAGAATTCTTTCCGGAGTGAGAAATGACGTTGATTCTTGATCATGAACATGTCGATTGTCGTTGAATGATAAGTACCAGACTATACAAGTTGTATCACGTGAACCCGTGACGAGGATATAACCTGTGGAGTCTAATGTTAAACACGTAATGATGTCGGTATGACGAGTAATCGAATGAATGGATTTAGATTTTGAGATGGAGTATGTGCGTAACGATCGATCCCAATGCGCACCACTGAAAATGTATTTTGCGTCGTGAGAGACAGCGAACAAACGAGAGGTAATGTCGATCGATAAGGCAAATGGTGCGATAGTAGTCAATCGATTTCTAAACAGAAGAAATTGTGCGAAAATACGTTGAAAGACGAGATTGACGTACTTTTGTGTTTGTAAAGTTGGATCTCGATCGAATGTAAAGAAATTATTCGATGTTTTGTCATACGGATGCCATCCTATTCGGAAATAAAGAGACAGATTTTCAATACGAAATCAATTCGACTAACAAACCATTATTTCCAATAACACCTTGGCTGTTGATACTGATCAAAATGTCAGGTATTCCTTGATTGATAAACGACCGTGTTTGATTTTTAGGTATCGAAATAAATATAATTGGTGCCGACTGTTTTGCATTCTCAGGAACTATTTCTACAAAAAATGCTTTGACCGTCGTTAAATTTTGAAACATATTCAATCCTCGTCCTTGTACTTCCATTTGATTATTTACTTGTTCGCGTGTCTGCCGTTGTGGATGCGGTTCCGTCAGCAATTGTGACGGGCTTTGTCCGAAATTTTCGATCATCCCATCAATAGCTTCACGTGCGATATTATCATCAATAACGTCAGCGTCCATTGGCCGTTCATATGAACAGTACATGAAAACATTCAGTGCATCGATTGCTGCTCGTCCAGTTTGTTTATAACCAAAGATAAGATCGATCCATTCGTGAAGATGAGCGGATACGTAATCAGATTCGAGTGCTAAACGATGTAAACGAATGAATTCTTCGGGAGAATCGTGTGCCCAAGGAGGTAATTGAACATCGTTCAGTAGTTGATTAGTTGATTGAAGTTTTCCTAAGTCGAATTTATTCAAATTGCAGAGAAATTCGGGCAAATAGAAGAATTCTGGTATTAGCTCTTTGCCATCGTTTGGCGAATCCATGATGTTCGACCATGAAGATTGAAATGAATGAAACTGTCGATCGGCAATATCAAATCTAATGAGAAAAATCACTTAGATTCGTTTGTTACGCAAAGTTTCTCTTTACTTTCCACTTTGCAATTGAATATGCAAAGTTGTGAATGGTTCCATACGAATCAAATAATGCATAACACTTGCAGCATTGGAATAATGCGTACCGTAGTGGAATTTCTTTATTAAACCCGACGGATCTTCGAACGATTCATATCTAATCGGAAAAGAATGATGATGAGAATTTTCTTGACAAAACGAACTTACTTCGATTTGACCTCTTCGATGTGTTTAGGATTTTGAATTCCAACTGGTTTTGAAAAATCTCGGAAAACATCGGGATTGTTCAAATCCAAGACTTGCGAAGTGAAATCCTTGATAATCCAAGGGAAAACTGGATATTGATTGAGATCGTTGTATGTTCGACCAGCGATTGTGTTTAACATCATCAAATAATCGAAATTGGACAATTCACGTGACATCCATTTGTCGAGAATTTTCGATTCTCTGAAAATTTCTTGCGGAGTGAGAGAATTCGGTGAAAGATTTTTCATCGATGGTAATTTCAATGAGATAAATTTATTAATTATTTGTCGACGAAGTTTTGAATTCAAATTTAAAAGAAAATTCGTTTGATTTATCAGAAAGAACTCTAAAGCTGTTGGACGTAAGTTGTATCGACGTAATTGAATGTCTTGCAACCATATCAATGGGTATTTTAGATCATTTTCACAGTTTTTCCTTGGATTAGAATCGATAAAGTAAAGATATCGATCAGTCACAAGAAATTCTCCATGAGTTTTCGCTGTTGAAGTGATTAACGAACATTTCACACCCAGAATCCTATATTAACATGCA